CCAAAGTCGTTATCTAATTTAAGATGAGAATTACCAAAAATATATTATTACCTCAATTATTCTTTAGTTTCAGACGGGACTGCATGCAACTGGCGACTTCTTCAAAAATATCGGATCAGGCCTTGCGAATATAAAGAATATTGATTTTGGAAACTTAATGAGTAACATTGGAAGCAGTTTGGGGAACTTGTTTGGGAAGCTTGATTTTGGTTTAGGCAAAAGTAAGTTTTACTTATCGTTTAATCAAATGAACTAATAATGTAAAACATACTTGTAATGGAAAATGAAATAGTGGTGTTGTTGGTTAATAATGATAATGGGATCTTCCGTATTTTCAATGGAATTTTGATTTACGTTTCTTAAAGTGACGTATATCAGTGTTAAGATCCTATGTTTAAAAAATGATAGAATAATTATTTACAATAATAATTTTAATTAAGTAATGGCAGCGGTACTGTTCTCCCCAACAGACATGGGAAACTGACGGTGAACTGACAATAACTATTTTGAGAGTGGGGGCCTGCCTTTCTATATTATAGGGCGACGTCGAGACTTGTACGAGATTCTCACCAATGCACACAGAGTCCGTCGTTCCGGACAACCGACCTGCAACGCTCTTCAGAGTAATGCCTCCGCCGCGTGCTCTTATTACATCCCTGAGTGCCCCGATTGCGACATCGTGAAAACCAGAGGTAACATGGAACAACTGTCTTAGTACCAAAAAAAAAAAAAAAGTTTCGTGATGAAAACCCCATGGTTTTATGGAAGAAAATAGACAAGAAGGGGAAATCATTATAAAAATAAAAGTTCAGGGGGAAGGGGGCAGCACTTATATAATGATGTTGGAATTATTTGATTCAAAATAATTCGTGTCTGCCACGAACAATCGCTGTTCAAAACACAATAATGAAGAATCTCTGACTGTCAGCAAAGTTAAATTCAAGAGATAGGCCTATACATACCATCCGTAACATTCTTGATTTTATGTAGGCCTATATAGGCATTAAAATCCAGAATGCATTTTTCAACCTCGTACGCAAGTATAGTATAGTATAGTATAGTATAGTATAGTATAGTATAGTATAGTATAGTATAGCTTATAGAGCAATTCTGTATATGTAGATATCTGACTTATTTCAGACTGCGATGGATACGAAACCGCCCTAAAGGACGTGCTTAAGGCTTTGAGTGACTTGAGATGGCTCTCACTGTACAAAGAAAACAAGTATGAAATTTATGAGGTGAGATAAATATGTATTCTGCAAAAATAACATTTTTGACCTCCCCCTCTCTTTCTCGACTGTCTCTCCTAACATGCTTCGCGGAAAAGGTAGTCTTTTGGTCATTCCGTTCCTTTTTATCCTGTACGCAAACGGTGTATCTCCCCGCATAGTTTGTAATGTCTGTCTTGCGCTTATTGTCAAACTAACCTCCAAAATGTAAAACATGCATATATATGTAGCATAGTTTGTAAATTTTTGTTTTTTATGCTTATTTTTATCTTGCCTGCATACACGTAAAGGGCATCTAACTGGATACTTACTGGTTTGATAAAAGACGATGTATTTCGCATAACTAACGCGAATTAATCAGTGGCGGATTT